ATCAATAAAATATTTTTTTTTAAATTAAAACAGACAATTTTGAAACAATTACATAATTTAAAATAGGAATAATAAACCATCGATTACATAATGTTATTCCATAAATAAGATGTTTTGTGAATAATATACTTTCCAAAAGAAAATCATGAGAAGAGAGAGTACTGTCAGGTGCATTTTTCCGTAGCACTGTGCTGTCCGGTTGTCATGTCTGCTGGCGCCTCCTTCAATCCGTTACCATATGTTGTTTTGGTGAAAGCGTCTAAAACGCTCTCCTGGTTCAGTTATTTTGTTGGAAACGGGAGGAGTTTTGCTAGCCGTTTCAGGCCACTGTGCATGTCCTTGGAGTCTGTTAAAACTCAGAGTGCAGTGCGATACTATGTCACTAAGTGTTCATTCTCTGCCATGTTGGGACCCTGGCACTGTCTTCACTTTGAATCCTCCTTCTTCCATGCGTCGGTCACTCAGAGGTGTGTGTGACGGGAATGCAGATCTCCACAGGGTGACACTCACCTTTTGTCATGTCCAGAAATCACATTTGTATCACCACCACCCTTGTCGATAAAACCTATCTTCCTTTGGAAGGTGTCAAGCTCCTGGTGAGACATACAGACATTTGAAAATCCTCATTGTCATGGGAATGCTCAAATTTTATCATTGGCCCATACCGTTTTCAAGAAAATACCTGCCAGATACTCACCACTGAGTAATTGTAGTTAAAGTCTGACCTGGTCCTTCTTCCAAGTAAGAACGTTGCCCCAGCAAAAAGTGGGCTCGTTCAGCCCACAGCTCACACAGCCGGGGAGGCGCTTCTCGGCCAGGTAACCCTTGGCCTTCAGACGCTTTCCAGGTCACCACCCAGGAAGTTAAAAACTAAAAATGTACTCAAGGCTTGAAATTTTTTAAAAAATCAACTTGGGAGTGCTTTTTTATAAATTGATTGGAGAGAGCAAGAGAGAGAAATGGAAGGAGGGAGGGAGAGAGAGAAGATTTGTAGTTCCACATATTTATACATTCATTGGTTGATCCTTGTGTGTGCCCTGACCAGGGATTGAATCCGAAAACTTGGCATATTGGGATGATGCTCTAACCAGCTGAGCTACCCAGCCAGGAACCTGGGGAGTTCTTGAGAACATTTTGAAGGGAGACTCTTCTTGTTTGTGTGTACTTAAAGAGGGTGGCCATGAATACAGCAATGAGCAAAGGAGCACAGTTTGGTCCCACTTGTGCTCAGGAGCCTGCAGGGTTAGCCACCATCACTTGTGCAAAGTCAAAGCAACTTTGAGCACAGTGAAAAAGGCAGACAGTCTCTTAGAATTTTTTTTAAATAGTGTTTAATTTATAACCCACCCTCCACAGGACCACAATTTGAGCACTGCTAAGGCAAATATTGCAAGGAGGAAAAAATCAATGAGATTTACCATGGTAAAAAGACCAAAGCAAATGTCATTGTGTCCTAAGTTATCTAACTTAGACGAGGTAATTGTATATGAATGGAAAATATTAAATTCTCACATTTGTTATCTGGAAAACATAACTGGAACTAAGGTGTCCATTATTTTTTCTACCACTTAATTATGAAAACTGGAGTGTTGTTGATTGCACCACCTGTACCTAAGAGAGTAGCTCTTCGGTGCATGTCTGCCTTTGAGATGCCTATCCAGCCGTCTGTGCTCTGGAGTTTGGCTTTAATTCCTTGTTAACTGCCTTCGGTGCCCCTGTGAACACATCGGGCAAACCATCTTTCACCAGACAGCCACCGGTAACGTCCAGACGGGAGGCAGTGCGAATCGATGGAGTAAGAGTATTTTTAGGGACTGTTGATGGATTGCTGTATTCTGCGCTTAACTTGAAGTGCCAGATGCCCCAGAGCTGACTAAGATGAACTCGCCATTTACTGAGCACTGTATAGACTGTGGAGACATGCGCGTCTCCCCCGTGGTGGTTTTGGGGAGAACGCCGGGGTTTTTTAAAGCAGCCTTCTGCTGTATTTACATGTGGACGGACTCTGGGCCATCCCTTGCCGGAGCACAGTGTTATACAGTTCACGATCTCCCAGTCCTGGTGATGGGTAACAGATTTTAGGACAGCCTTGGACAGCAGCCTATCCGTCAGTTCTCCGTGTAGGGGGACCTGGTACACCCAGGCACTGATAACCGACCCTTCTAGTGGCAGCCCCACAGAGGTGGCAGCAAGCTGGAAGCTGTGACTCCAGGCTCCTTCTCACTTGCTAGCAGGTTTCTCTCACTGCAGCTCATTTGCATCTGGGACATCAATTAGCATGTTTGTTGAGGCTAATTGAATGAAACTCAATCATAGCTCTTAATTGCTTGACTATGTGAAAAGAAATCACATTAATGCAGCTAATTAAGTGTACGGCAATAGATGCAACATAATTAGGAGCGAAATGCGAAAAACAAGGGATGGCGAAGGTGCGGAGCCCGGGTATGGGGGGGGGGGGGGGGGCAGGGAGATGCGGGATGGCGGCAGAGCCATCCGCGCGTCTGGACGGGTCCCTGTGCTCCAGCGCCTGCTCGGAAAAAAATAATCCACATGATGAGCATGGACAACTTGAGAAGAAAAATGCAAATAGGTTTGCAATTACTACTTTTTCAAGCTGTTGAGGGGCAGGAGATGGCACCTCTGGGGGGCCTGGCTCTTGAGTGGGCCCCGGGGACTTGTTAAGTGCTGTTTAAAAGTACTTGGCTTTGAATTACCCTCATGCCTTGTTAAAGGGTTTTTCCCCCTTTTATCTTCGATCAGCATTTTCTACAAGGAACATGGAGAAGGAACACGCATTTGCATATCAAAATCGAGCTTGCTGTCTTGTCTTTACCCAGGGAGTCCCTGCCTCAGACCCATCCAGCTGCACAGCCCACTTCACTTCAGAGGGTGGGGGACAGGGTTTCGTGGTTGTGGCTTTAATTCCTCCAGTACCAGGCCCAGGAGAGATGAAAAAGATGAGTTTGTTCTTTCAGAAACGGGAAGCTCAGTGTCGTTCCTCGTGGGAGAAGCTGGAAGCCATGTTCTCGCCGGTCCCTCCCGCCACCTGTTTCCGGAGCTCTGCCTGGAGGGGCCTTTGTGGCATAGGACATGCCTTTAGTACAGTTTTTAAAAACGGTGGCAACTTGAAATATAAAAATGGCCAAAGTTATATTCAGATTCCGCCGTGTCCCCCCCCTCCTCCAGCTAGTTCTTGTGAACTTTCAGCGCCTAAATAACTCAGGCAAGAGAACGGATCCCTGGCCCATGCTGGGCCCAAGACAGATGTGTTCCCCAGCGTGTTCAAACCGGGGAAGCAGGCTCTGGGTAGATTTCTATAATAATTCTGAATAAAATGTCCTGGTTATTGTATGTTGAAACGTGCCCATTAAAAGAGCCCTGCTGAGGCTTAGTCACTCTCTGATTAGCCTCATTTTAGAGCCCATAAGCAATAAATGCTCAATTACACTCCTGTTATTGTATTTTAATTTGTTAAGAATTGGCATTAAAGAAGAAAGTTATAGCAAGTTGATATTTTTAAAGGAGTAACTATGCAAGGAGGAATTCATTATTTACAAGCCTTAACGTTGGTTTTGAAACTTGGCCTTGCCTATTTTCGGCAGGTATTAATAGAAGTAAGTGAAATAGGCTTAAGAATCACCTTTTGAATGACCTTGACTTGTAGCCCTTCACTAACCAGAGGTCACTTTCTTTGAGGTGCTTTTGGTTCCCATCCTCAACACAGGGAGCTCGGTCGCGAGTCTGCCTACATCTCCTCCAGTCCGCCTGTCCTGCAGTCCGGTTTAATGATGATAGCTTTCTTACATCTTTGGTCCACATCCTTTCAAAACCACAGCTTCTTTCATGGTCCGTTATATCTAGGGAAGTTTTCCAAGCATCTTGATCTCCCTGTGAAGTTTTCAGTCTGTTCCCAGCTGGACACAGCCTCCCCCTTCCCCAAACCCATAACTATCCTCCAAGGTGGCCGAGGCCGACCACCCCTCCCCACCAGCCTGCCCTGGGGACCTTGGGGTGACCCTCCCTAAGCCCCCCTGGAGCTTAAATGCAGAGCTTGGCCGGCCCAGGGAGGGCATGTCTAGCACCGCTGAGGCAGGCCCAGCTCACTCCCTTCTGAAGAGCTCGCTGAGTTGGCCCCACTGGGGTGCAGCTTCTGACCCCTCCCCCATGTGTCTCTATCCCATGGTCCTCCAGGCCCTGCCTCAGCATGAAGTGCTGCCATGGGAGGGCTGTCCTCAGGAACCTAATGGCTTGCACTAAACACAAACCAGTGGGTTTTCCTCTTCACGGTCTGAAGGGAGCCCACCAAGATTCCGCAAGGACTGAGTCGCCGAGCCCATTTCCTGCTTAGTCTTAAACCCTGTGAAATGTTATCACTCGCGAGCGGTTCAGAATGTATCCCTTTCTGATGAGTGCTGTTGAGGTCATAATGTCTACAGAGACATGGGGATCATTGCCCCCCAAAATGCCAGAAAGCATTGATAACCCCTGATCTGCCAACAGGACCCTGACCCAAGCTCTCAGTGGCCTTCTCCCCTCCAGCCCCTCCAGGCAGCTACAGTCTCATGGAAATGTTTAACGGCATTGCCCTCTGAGACAGAAAGGTCTCTGCACAATAGTTCTGCTCCATGGAATTGTGGGTAAACCATCCAGGAGGGGGCCGGAACCCCGTGTGCCGTCGCATAAGCAAGCAGTTCAAACAATACGACTTTGTGTCCATGCTCTTTTTTTTACGGCTGGTTCTCGTCCCCTGTGATGGGCCGTCTGCTTTGTCTCCTCTTCTCTCCAGGTCTTGGGTTAGCACAGGACTTGGAGGCAGAGCTCCAACTTCGGTATAATGGGGAGGCCCCCGTGCTAGGCAGGTCCGGGCCTCCTTATTTTCAGAGCGCGGGCCACCGGGGAAAGGACTGGGGTTACAGCTCATGACATCCACTAGACCGTCTTGTCCCAGTTGGTAGGTGGTCTGCTTTTTAACCTATCTTGGCTGTTTAACGTTTGAACAGGATTACATGCAGAACGTTCACGGGAAAGAGATCGACCTTCTGAGAACCACTGTGAAGGTCCCCGGGAAGAGGCCCCCCCGCGCCACGTCGGCCTGCGCACCCATCTCCAGCCCCAAAACCAATGGCCTGTCCAAGGACATGAGCAGTTTACACATCTCGCCCAATTCAGGTAAGCCTAAGGCAGACGCACCAGAGACTTCTTACGCCGGCCGCTGTCCATGGTGCTGGCGGGGGACAGTGCTGAGCTGGTGGGCAGGTGTTGGCCGTGATGTTGTAGGTGGAGGTCTAGAAGCCTCATCTCCTCCACCAGTGATCCCTCCCTCTCCCCCGCGGGTTCTGTGACTGCACGTGGTGGCACTCAAAGTCCCAACTGCACAAGCCGGCCCACGAGGTGGTCCGGAGCCAGGTGGTTGCTAGTGGGATTGTGTACATGATGGAGGATTTAAAGGGCTTTCGTAAAAACGCGAATGAATTGTTCAAGGATCAAGGCTTTGTAGTAACTAACCCATAGGGACCAAGTATATAAAAGGGAAAAGGCCGTTTGGAGAGAGTTTAAAGGAAACCCTTGGACCAATGGAGCATTTCTTTACTCTCTTTCAAGGGAGAATTCGTGCCTTCTCAAAGTTAGATGTGCTGAGACTTACCTGGCAATTGCAAACCATTCAAATGTCATGGTTCCTTTTTGGTTAAGAGTATTTGCAAACGGTGGCACTGTGGCGTTGAGCTTCCACGATTATTTGTCGGAGGAAAGGTATAGGGACTGGCCAGGCCCTCCTCCTGAACTCAGAGTCCTGCAACACGGGGACCTCTCTGTGTCTTCCTCCAGCAAAAAGCCCCTCTCTTCCCTCCATCTAGTCTTCCTAGAATAAACTTCTGTTCTGTGGTGGTTTCTGCATGTGTCTCTGCTTCTTAACGGCGCTATATGTCCCCCTCTGAACTGTGAGATGCTGTGGAGGAGGAATGGGGTGCTGACCCCACAGTTCTGCGGCATAAACAGCTTCCATCGGTTGGGGAAAGCAGGGTCATAAAAAGGAGCAGAGTCTGGGGTCCATGAAACTGGGTTCTGCTGCTTGATGTCAAAGGGTTTTGGGCAGGTAACTGACTGTCCGTGAGTCACTACCACATCAGACCGACCTGGTCTGGCCTCTGTGCAGTCACTGATGTGGTGGCAGGTGAGGTCACGTGGAAGTGCCAAAAAAAAAAAAAAAAAAAAAAAAAAAAAAAAAAAACCTCAGAAAGTCCAATACAGACGTCACTGTTACTACTCATCAAAAGAACCAGGGCCTTCTGCTCACAGAGACCTTGCTTCATTCCAGAAGGGGGTTATTTTGCCTGGTCTCTGTGACCTGCTGACCCTTCTTCCAAGACATAGGTGATCTTTCCCTCAGGATGGAGTGTGCTGGCGTTATGGGATAAGAAGAGGGAAAAGACTGTTGTCTTTGTTACTTTGTATTTATTTATTTAAAAATATTTATTGAGCCGAAACCGATTTGGCTCAGTGGATAGAACGTCATCCTGCGGACTGAAAGGTCCAGGGTTTGATTCCGGTCAAGGGCATGTACCTGGGTTGTGGGCACATCCCCAGTAGGGGGTGTGCAGGAGGCAGCTGGTCAATGTTTCTAACTCTCTATGCCTCTTCCTCTCTGTGAAAAATCAATAAAGTATATATTTTTTTTAAATAAAAATATTTATTGAGCACAAGGTGTGTGCCAGGAATTGGATGTGCTATGGGAAATGAGTCCCTGAGCTCTAGAATGAGGATTAGTCACCTCATCACCAGCTGGTTTTCCTTCTCCTTCTAACCCATCTCATCACATCTGTCGAGATGGGTTATTCAAGTCAAGAAACATGGATGGAATTTTTAATGCATGCTATAAACAGTCCAGGACCCTGGGACACAGGAGACGAGATAAGCCCTGCCCTCAAGAATGGCATCCTTTGGTTGGGGAGAGACAAGTAGACAAGTAAATACAGCAGCGCAGGGCAGGGGTGCACCCAGGGAGGGAGACCCAGTGAGCAGCTCCACCCCAAGAGGCTGGCCTGGCCTGGCGGCAGGGCTGTGCTGGGAGTGAAACGGGGGCGGGACTCAGCCAGGCACCCAGGATGCAGTGTTGCTTGCATGAGATTTGTAGTCTGAACTTATTTATCTTCAGATATATGATCTTTGGTGCTCAACTGCCACTTGCATATGGAAAGTGTAATGTTGGGTAACAAATAGAAAATCCAAAATGCCACGTAACCTTTATCCTATCCCGTGGGGTCCGGTATGTCAGGGCCTCTGCCGAGGGAGGGAGTGTGGGTCTCTCCCACTGTTTAGAGCCCAGTTCACTCTCTTGAAGACTCTTGCTTGTGGGTGAATAACGGTTTGGGGGCACAATTGAAATCCCTTTGCCATGGCAGTTTATTACAACTCATCCTTATTTTAAAAATAGGTATTTTTGTTGATTTCAGAGAGGAAGGGAGAGGTTGAGAGATATAGAAACATCAATGATGAGAGAGAATCATTGATAGGCTGTCTCCTTGCAAGCCCACAACCCAGGCATGTGCCCTTGACCAGAATCGATCCCAGAGCCTTCAGTCCGCAAACCAACACTCTATTCACTGAGCCAAACCAGCTGACCCAGAGCCATGATAATCTCCATGCAGGAAGCCTGGCCATTTCCCTCTTATTTAGCTCACAGGCAGGGCCATGGAAGTGGGAACGGGACATCTGCAGGAGCAGGTACCGCTTCAGGGGAGAAAGTGCCTGACAGGCATTTGTGGCAGTGAGAGACATGGCTCATTCCTCTTAAGTGTGCAGGTGACGTCATCGGCTCATGTCCAGGAAGAGTGAGTGACCCTCTGTTCTGTTGTTCAGAGGATGTGCCCTCACATGAAAAATCCAAACTCAGCAATTTTAATTAGAAGTAAATTGATGTTATTTTTAAGGGATGGACTCTTAGTTAAAAATAGGCATTATTTTTGTTATTTTAGAGCTATTTGCCAAAGAACTGGCATGGTGCCGAAACCGGTTTGGCTCAGTGGTAGAGCGTCAGTCTGCGGACTGAAAGGTCCCAGGTTCGATTCCGGTCAAGGGCATGTACGTTGGTTGCGGGCACATCCCCAGTAGGGGGTATGCAAGAGGCAGATGGTCAATGTTTCTCTCTCATTGACGTTTCTAGCTCTCTATCTCTCTCCCTTCCTCTCTGTAAAAAAATCAATAAAATATATTTTAAAAAAAAAGAACTGGCATGGTACTTTCCCTTATCCTCACTCTCCACTCATTTGAGTTATGCTGTTCTGTTATAGAGCTCTGAGTTAATTAGAAGTGTTTTTTTTTTCTTTGCTTTCCTTTTTTATTATTATTCATATTTTTACCTCAGTGTTAGTGAATTAGTTCAGTGTTGTGTAGCTTTCTTCCCAGTAACTTTTCCATTCACATAGACCCAATATATGCATATACCCAAATCTTTGTGCACAACACTCATTATTGTTTTAAAAGTACATGTGTGGCTCTGGCCAGTTGCTCAATGGTTTATAAGGCTTTTGATTCATATTTCCAAATTAATTTCTAGAAAGGTTGCACATGCAGTAAACCTCCATCCATAAAGTGAGTGCCCATTTAAAACACACACTTTTGCTAGTATTGCTATTTAAGTATCATTTTTAGACTCTGCTAATCTTATAATAAAAATTCCTCATGCTTGGTTTATTTGGATTTCTTCAATTAGTAGTGAGGTTGAACATCTCACATGTTTATTAGTCGTACTTATTACTTACATTGTAGTTGTTTAGAGATAACCCTTGCCCATTTTTGCACTGGGTGCTTGTTTTTCCTTATTGATATGTAAGAACTCTTGGTAGGGTAAGGATATCAACACTTTATTATATTTCCCCAATTTCTTAGTTTTTTATACCACATGGTCTTACTTACATTTAGAGGTCCCCCTTTTTTAATATATAAATAAATTATGTCTTTTACTTCTCTGGTTTCTACTTAGAAAGCCTTCAATCATCTTGAAATCAGGACATAATTTATATATATGTATTTTTGAGTTTTATCATTGTAGTGTTTCTCTTTTTTAAGACATCCAACTTTTTATTATAAAAATTTTCCAACATACTAAAGAGTTGAAATAATAGTATAATGAATGACTATGTACCTACCAGGTCCTTAAAAAAATTTTTTTAATTACTAATCCATCGTTAATTTGTTTGGGTCTATTATACATGATAGGGCATCTAATTAAACTTAATGCAAATAGATAACTAACTGTTCTTTCTCTCTATGGTGAATGTTTCCCTTCCCTGTTTATCCTATTGGCCCCCTTTATGGTAAACTAACTCATTTAATCAAATGAGTTCTGTGTCTGTGCTCAAGAATATATTTCACTCATCTGCTATTCCCACATTGTCTGACCTGATGTAGATTCACCACCCTGGCTTTATCCTCCAATTCTTCTTGGCTATTGTCATGCATTCGGCTTTTTCCAATATACTTCAGAATTACTTGAAACCCACTTCTTCCCCTTAAAAAGAATCTCATGTGACTCCAATTGCCACTGCTTTTAACCTGTCAACTAATGGTAGAAAACCCGAATCTTGACCAGTTTCCTATCGTGGATCTCAATTATTTCCCACTTTATTCAAATTTATTTTCTATCCCTTAGTAAAGTTAACATTTTTCTCATTTAGCTCCTGTATCTGTCTTGTTAATCCATTCTACTAGTTTATAATTTTTGGTGAAATTATAACTACTATTGTCAGAAAGATTTAAGGGATTAGTTATTGTATCCATAAAATAAAACAAGCAAAAGATTGAAGGAGTTATTGAAAATTAAAGAAAAAAAGATTGACTAGATAAGTTAATGTTTTAAATAACATGGCTAATGACACTGTTGGAAATCAAAGATATAACAGAAGAAAATGTGCTACAGGTGAGAAGGACATGCTGGGGCTTTCCTTCTCTGAGGAGTCGGACATTGAGATGGATGGGGGAGGAAGCTCTGTAAACGTAGAGAACAAATGAGGTAGGAGAAGAGCCAGGTTACCCACAAAGGACGGAACGATGGAATCTTCACCTCTGAAAACAACACTGCTGCTAGATGATGGGAGAGTTCCCTTCTAAGGATAAATAACTGGATCTGAAAGCCTATGCAATGCCAAACTATTATCAATCAAGTATGAAGG